GTTGTTGGATTTCAGGACTCTGTTATGCCCCTTTCCTAATGACTGAGCCGAACTCTGCCCGAAAGCCCAGATCCAAGGACAGCGCTCCAGGGACACATTCCTCGCTGTTGGGCAGAGATTAGTGACACAAAGGGGCAGTGGCACCGTCACGCGCCCCCGAACTTTTCACGCGACCTTCTCCGAGCAGCCGCCCAAAGCAGCGAGTCTGCGGAGATGGCTGGTGAGATTGGTGACACACAAGGGACTGTAGGCCGAACACTGTGAAACTGGCGTAAATTCGCAAGAGAGGAGAATCAGGCCTTAAACAAAGGGACTCAGTTCCTCCCAGCATAACCTGCAGCAGGACTAGGGTGTGAGCTCTCAGTGGGAAATACTCCTTGCTCATCGTTTAACTCGGCCGGGTGGAGGGAATCCTCTTCCACAGGTACTGGAGAGTCCCCTGGCACTCTTCAGCCTCAGTAAGGCGTACGGGGAGCAGGCCCTCGGACTAGCTGGGAGTGAGCTCGCCCTGACTGAGGTGCAGGCCCAAGGTTTGGAGACCTGAGATAACAACGACATGGGGCTGCCTTCCTGCTTCATGTGTGTCACCTACCTGCTGCTACAAAGCCCCTAAACCGGGAACTATCCAGGTGATAACAGACAAGAGTCAAGCCTAGGGGATGAGGAGGAGAGGGGCAGGGGAAAAAACCCTGCCAATAGGAGTCAAACGGAAGGAAAGATCGATGAGCCAGAGTTGGCTTTTTTTTGTGTGTGTTAGAAATGTCACTCCGGGATAAAACGATCCCCGCCTGATTTATTCCGAAGGATACAATGTGAATTCCTCGGCAGAGACTTTCCTTTCAGGCCCTGCCAGGTGGGTGAGGCAAAAGCCACTGGTTCTTCCCAAGAGGACCGTGTTAAAAGCTCGGCTTGGTGGTTTCCTCCTGGCCCTGTGGGCTTTGGCTTAGTCCCCTGGATTCTTGTTTAGAGGCGCGCAGCTTCCCGCTCTTCGCCGTTTGCCAGTTAAGTGCGGTTTTCCTCGCTGCGCTATTGATTTTTGCGGATCTGCCTTTAGAGCGTTATGAAAATGGGACTGCGCCATTAGAAGAGGGCAGAGAGGATGAGCGCGAAGGACAGAAAAATAAAATCACCCTCGTGCCTCGTCTCATGCGATTTCCTAGCTCCGCTTTCCCTCCGAACGGATCGTTTCCCGTTTCCTCTCGAAATTGCTTTCCAGCTCCGAACTATTGGCAACTACGCGCTGCAAAAATACGTGCTGCGGCAGACGCGTACAATGGGCGCATGGGGTTTCTGTAT